GTTAAATACTATGAAAAAATTTTTTTCCTAACCATTATCAAAATATAAAGTAAAATTTGTGAAGAAAATAAAAACGGTAAAAAAAAATATTTACTACCGCAGTTTTTCTGCTTTTGTATTAGTGCTGTTAACTGTTTTACAAAAAAAAAATAGAGAAGAACCAAAAAAAAAACCCGGTTCAAACTGGATGACCAAAAAAAATTTGGCCTTCTTAAAGAAGGTATAGTACTGCAGGCGATGGCCAAACATGTTTCCCAAGTTGAGGTAACTTTTTCTTTCCATTCTTTCTTCTTTCTTTCTTCATTTTTGCTTTTCCACCTTTATTATTTGTTTTTTTACTTTCTTTGAATTAGCCAATCTTTTTTTTTGCATTATTGTATCAAATGTAAAAAAACTGTGCACAAAAACAGCAACAGTTGTATTCTTATTCTTCTTTTTTTCTTCAGAAAATGGATATCAAATTTATGCCATTACTGTTTGTGAATTTAGCCGGTGAAATGATTTATGTATTAAATCAACGCTTACAGGTTAGTTTTTAGTTTTTAGCTTTTTTTTGTCTTTGTCTATAACTTTTTTTTGGAAGAAAGCTGTAAAGCAAAACAAAAAAAGTTGAAGAAGAAAAAACTGAAAAAAATTTTATCAGAACTCTTTATTTAATTATAAATATTTATTTATTTACTATTTATCAGAACTTCTTTTTTCTTTCTTCTTCTTTTTTTCCGGAACTTCAACTGATACATATTAATCTTTTGGCAACACATTGATTGATTAAAAAACAAAAAATGTGAAAGAAAAATGGATAAATAAATAAATTAATTAATTAATAGAAGATAAACAACAAAAAAAAAATTCTAGGCACAACATTTTGAGAATGTAAAAAGTAGTAAAATATTGGCCGATCTTGTTCGAGCAATGTTTGAAAAACGGTTCATCGATGAGTTGTTCAAAATTCAAAATATCTATGCGCAACAGACATTAAAAATTTTCTTCATCAAATTTGCACATTGCAGTATTATGCGTTTAACTGATAATAGGTAATTTTATACTATTATTATTATTATTATTATTATTATTAT